CCTCTGGGGGGCGCACGGCTGTAACATTTCCTGCTGAGCTGCTGTCTTGTGGTCTCCGTGCTGCCTTCTGACTTGTGTCTCTTGTCTCTCCAGTCTTGTCTCCCCTTTTACTGCCTACGGGGGGGGGCCTGGCGCCAAAGAAAGGCACCTGTGGGTGGTGGCAACTCGAGGTTCCGAAAAGTGGTGGCATATGTGGTGGTATCTGTGGTGGCCCCTTTTACTGCCTACGGGGGGGGGTTCCCGAAAAGTCCTGGCAGCTCGAGGTTCCCTTACGGATTCCCCCAGGGACGCCTCCGCGCGGCCAGGAGGCCCAATAGGCCTCGACGACGGCCCCACGAGGCTCCAGGGAGTTTCTCGAGCACGAGACGGTCCAGAATGGCCCCCGATGGCCTCAAGGCGGACAACGATGCCGCCAAGACGCCCCAAGAAGGCCCCCAAAAGAGCCCCACAATGGCCTCCACATGTCCAACTCATGGATGTTCTGCATGCCAGGCTGCCGGAAAGCCAAGACGACCCACGATGCCTCCAAAATGGCCCCACGACGGCCCAACAGGCTCCCGAGAGAGCCTCCGAGAGGTTCCCAAGAGCGCCGAAGAGGCCCCCAAGGCGGCCCAACACAGTGCCAAAACGGCCCGAGACAGTCCGAAATACCCCGGAGACGGCCCAAGACGGCCCCAAGAGGCCTCCAAGACGGCCCGAGAGGACCGGAGAGACAGCCCAAGAGGGCCCCAATAATCCCCAAGACGTCCCGAATATGTCCACGCTGAGCCGCCAGAAAGGAGCCAAGTGGGCCCCAAGAGGAAGAGGAACATGAGGAGGATGGGTAGACGAAGGACGACGAAAAAAAGATCACTAAGAAAAGAACCACGGAATGACAGCGGAAACGGAAGAGGACGGAAACGAGGAGTCGAGGCGCAGGGCGAGGGGAGAAGCCACGAGATCAAGCGAAGGAGGAGAAGGCGGATGAGGCCGGGGGGTGGCCAGCCGTTCCGCGCTGCGGGCGTGCAGTTCGCGAAGCGAGGGGTATCCACCAGGCAGCTCAGCCGAGGGTGCCAGCCGCAGAGGGGTGCCAGCGAAAACGCTTGTCCCATTGCAAGTCTCATCGCCTACTCAGCATGCGTCCTGCGAGCCGAAAATCTGGAGGCGCTGCCTCTCTGTTCCTTTTCCTCCTCTCCCCCGCCTCCTCCTCCTCCTCCTACTCCTCCTCCTCCTCCCCCTCCTACTCCTCCTCCTCCTCCTCCTCTTCCTCCTCCTCCTCATCATCATCGTCACCATCAGCATCAGCATCAGCATCAGTACCAACACCACCATCATCATCATCATCATCATCAGCAGCATCATCATCATTATCATCATCATCGTGATGATCATGAGGATCAGGATCATGGTCATGCTGATCATCATCATCATCAGCAGCAGCAGAAGCATCATCATAATCGTCATTACCATCATTGTTATGAGCCTCATCATCAGCATCCTCCTCCTCATCATCATCACCATCAGCATCGTCATCGATCACATCATCATCGTCATCAACATCGTCATCATCATCCTCATCATCACCATGTCATCACCATCAACAATAGCATCACCAGCAACGCCAATAGCATCATCATTTATTTCCTCCTCCTCCTCCTCTTCCTGCTCCTCCTCCCCCTCCTCCTCCTTCTCTCGTCCTTCCCCCTCTTCCTTCTCTTCCTGATCTTCGAGCGAACGCGTTTCACGGGCGCTTGCCTAGGGAACATTCGGTGGCGCGTTTCGAACCGGGGGGTGGGCCCCCCCCAACACTCGGCACCGTCGATCAAAACCAGGGGGACTCCCCTCCCCCCCCCCCCCCCTTCCGACCCCCCCCCCTCCTTCTCCCAAGGGGAGGGAGGGTTCAACCCTCCCCCCCCCTTCGGCGCCGGCGCCGGCGCTGGCAGCCGCCAGCTGCGCCCACGGCGGGGGCGCAGCGACGATGACCAGAGGCAGCCAAGGGGGGGGTTCAACCCCCCTCCCCCCTCGCGCCGGCGCCGGCGGCGGCCAGCAGCGCCGGCGCTGGCGCCAGCGACGGCGGGGACGCAGCGACACTTACCACCACTACCACCACCCACCACCACCACCACCACCACCACCACCACCACCACCCATTCCACCACCGCCTCAACCACACCACCCACCACACAATCACACCACCACCACAGCCACCACCACCACCACAACCACCACCACAAATCACCATCACCACCACACCACCACAAAAACCCACCACCACTACCACCACCCACAATCTACCACACCCACCACACCACCACCGCCACAACCACCACCACTACCAGCAGCACAACCCACCCACCACCACCACAAACCACCACACCACCATCACCACCACCACCATCACCACCACCACACCACCACCACCACCACCACCACCACCACCACCACAAACCACCGTCGTCCTCGTCGACGCTCCCCGCCACCGCCGCCCGCCGCCGCAGGCGCCGGCGCCGGCCCAGAAACGGAAAGCGTCGTCCCCGCCGCCGTCGCCAGCCGCCGCCGACACAAGCGCCGGCCCGAGGAGAGGTGACGCAGATGAGGGAAGGGGGGGGGGATTCGACCCTCCCCCGTCATCGACCCCCCCCCCCTCCATCCAGGGGGGGGGGGTCCGGTTTTAAACCCCCCTCCCCTCCCAGCGACCACAGAACGCGCTCTTTCTGATCTTCCTTCTTCTCCTCTGCCTGAGGGGGTGTGAGGAAGGGGGGAGGAGAGAGAGGACGAGGGACAAGATACAAGGCCGCCACACTTCGCGCTCTCGCGCTGCGCGAAACGCGACGCGCGAATCACTTCGCGCTCTCGCGCCCCCCACCCAAGAGGATAAGAAGAGGATGAAGAGGAATCGGAGTCGAACCGCGAAGCGCGAATAAATTCGCGCCCTCGAGGACGCCCTTGAAGCCAGGTCCGCTCACGCCATGTCTGACATCTCAACCCTCCCTCCCATGCCTTCCCATTGCGCCGATGTTTCATTTGTCCGCGGGCGCGTGTCATAGCCGACCTGGAACTCCACAAAAGACCCCATCGTGTTATGCGCAATCGGAAGAAGCGGGCCTGCGCACAGAGGATGAGGAGGAAGAGGAGGAGGAGGAGGAGGAGGAGGAGGAGATGGCGGGTGAACAGGAGGATCAGCAGGACGAACACCTGGAGGATGAGGAAAAACGAGAACGAGGTCGAATAGCAGCAACAGGAACCTGAGTGGAAAGAGCTGGAGGGGCAGGAGGACCAGGGGAACGTGGCAACGAGGAGACAATGGCTCGGCAGCAAAACAGTGGCCCGCGTTTGGAGCGAGAGCGCCATCGTGAACGGCAGGAGCAGTGCGCCGATCTGAACATGCGGCCTACGCTGGGTGGGGTTTCAAAATGTGAGACAATTTCACGGGTGGAGGGGTGGGTGGATTTCAAGATGTGTCTCTCACATCAGCGCCGCGCGCACTCGTCTTACAAATGCGCAAACCAAACGAATGATGGAAATGGGGAGCATCTTCAAAATGTGGCTCTCGCCTCTGCGCCCCGCACATGCGACTTAAACAATTGCAACAATCTGACAGCTGGAAAACAGGGGATCGTTCTCGAACGGGTGACCTCGCACTAGCGCCGCGCATTCGTTTGAAAACTTTGCGCGAGCTGCAAGAATGGAGGGCGCTTCCTTTTTCAAAATGGGGTTCTCGCATCAGCGCCGTGAACATCCGTCTCAAAACCTTCCAGCTGTTTCAAGGGTTCAGGGCTGGTCGTTTTCAGAGTGGGGCCATTGCATCAACACCGCGCGCACTCCTTTTCATATCTAAAACTTCAACTACAAGTCGGTGTTAACATGATGCATAATTGCTCGCTTGCATAATTGAGTTCTCGCCTGAGGCTTCGTTGCTGAACGGCCAAGAAGTTCCGTGCACGTAGTGCTGCATGGATTCGAGGTGGCTCTTCTTCGAATGGGTCTGTCGCTTGAAACTTCCTGATACTCATGGTAACAAAAGTAAGCGTGTGCAACACTTACACGGGTGAGGGAAATTGCGCTGCACACTTCGTTGAACTGTCTGATCGGTGTTTCTCGCGTTTCCGATTGCGCGCCGTAAAGATGCAAGGCAAGTGCTTACAAACGCGGAGCCCTCGCCAAATGGCAGGCGCAAGTGTCCTGGTACTTCAGGGGGGCGCATCATGTAGTGAAATGGGGCACTTGTAGGGGCGCGTGATGAGGGGACTTGACGATGGGAGGGTGTCTCGTGCAGCATCGCTTATGCATCCTCAATTTAATCTGGTCTCCCTCCTCCTCCTAACCCTCCTCGTCGACCTTCCTTCCTCATCCTTCCTCCTGCTCTCCTCCTCTCCCTCCTTCCTCCTCCTCCGAATGGGCACCGCAGGCGCACGCCATCTGTATGCAGCCCGTGAAGGGGTTGCTTGCTGGTGCCTCCTATCTACCTCATGACTGACGGCGGCCAGGCCTTCTCATGCAGAATGCGCACGCTCAGCTGACGGTCTGCTGACCAGCCTGGGTCGGAAGGCGACCGATCAGTGAATCTCACGGTGCTGGCACTGGTGAGGCCAAGCAAGGAGGAGGAGGAGGATGAGGAGGAGGAGGAGGAGGAGGAGACGGGGCGGGGGCCTCACCTAGTGTCGGCCCTGCTTGCGAGCCGCTTTATCATGGATCTGAGCGCCCAATGGACATCCAACACTCGGCGTGCGTCGGCCTCCGTGAAGCTGGGATACCTCGCACTGGCCGTGGGCTTGCCGGTCACTTTGTTGATCAGCTGCACCACTCCGATGGCCTGAGCTGGCTCAGACGGCGCGGTCGGTTCGTCAAAGACTGGCACGCAGAGCATGCTCCTGGTACGATACCCCGTCTTCTTGTCCACTTCAGCGTTGAAGCGGCTGTCCTCGTAGCAATCTGGGATAATAAGGTCAGTCTTCTCGGAGAAGGCGGCTCCCACCAATCCCGTGGATGCCGGGATGCTGACGTATGTCACTTTACCCACCTCAGACACGAACCTGGGGCGCGGCCCAACCGACCCCTCGCAAACCATCCCCTTCCGTGACGTCACACTTGCCTCGCAAGCTTCCTTCCGGCCGCATGCACACGTGCGAGGGCGAGGCGAGAGAGGCGTCACGGAAGGGCATGCTTTGCTAGGGGTCGGTTGGGCCGCCCCTGAAACCACGTCCACAAAGAATCCGTCGCAGGGTTGTGGATCCAGATGGTCGCGCGATCTGCCCCGAGGGTGGACGCCAGTCCTCGGGCGTCGCTGGATGGGGGGGGGACGGGGGGAGGCAAGCAGCACTTTTCGGACCCTCAAGGCCCTCTTTTGGGCACAGGGCCCCTTTAGGGGCCCTACAGGGCCCCTTTTCTGAAGCCCTCGCTGCCCCACCATTCATCGCCCCCCCCCCCATTGCGCGACGGCCACGGTCCTGCCTTAAAATTTCGAAAGACTACTGGAAGCTCGAACGAGAACATCTTGGCCTGCTTGGTGACCTGACTCATGTCGGCCGTCATGGACCTGACGATCGCCGACGTAAACTCGGTCTGCAGGCTCTCGTGCACTCGCAAGAACGCCTTCAGCTTGGCGCCGCTCTTCCACTCGAGAAGCTGCACGCTCTCGTTCGCTATCAGAGAGCTGCTGCGTCGGCCGGAGACGAGGCCGTCCTCGGCCTCCACGAACTGCGCTCCGCCGATGAAGGAGCCGGCCTTCAGCACCGCGACGGTCTCGCTGAGGCCCGCAACGTTGCCCTGGGCGACGAGCCTCATGGACCCCCGCACGATCAGGTGCAGGCTGTCGCCCGCGGCCATCGTCGCGTAGGGGACTTCCCCGCCAAGGGGTATCGTTCTCCACTCCGCGCCCTGGGCTCGGATCGACATGAAGGCGGCCAGCTTCATCCCTGTTGGCTTGAACACGCTGGCGAACGCCACGGCGGAGTCCTGGTCCAGGTCCTGGACGTAGTTCTCGCTGATCTCCCTCCAGACGTCGCTCACGCTTTTGCGCAGGAGGAAGACCAGGGGGATCAAGTTGCCGATGTCGACCTTGTCGCAGATCCCCGGGCTGGCAGAACCCGGTACCAGGAGACAGTTGAGCTGGTCACCGATGGAGCGCAGAGCGACGACCAAGCTGGTCAGGCCGACCAAGAATTCGGCAAAGTCAGACAGGCTCTCAGCCCGGTCCCAGAATGTCGCTAATGTGCGCCCCAACCGCTCCGGGAACGGCAAGAGCTCGTCCCGCTCCCACTGCTCGCGAACCTCGTTCAGAACGTACTGCGCTCTCGCAAAACCATTGTTCTCGTACTGTGCCGTGAGCGCCACGTCGAACCCCTGGCTGACGCTCTGCAGCGATAACTGGCCAAACTCCTCCGACGTTATGAACCCATCGCCGCGCGAGAGCACGCTGAAAATCCGTGCATAACTGCCGCGGTCCAGGTCGATCCCCAGCATCTTGCAAGCTACGCAGAACTCGGACAGGCTGATCTTCCGGTCCCCGTCGGTGTCGAACTTCACGAAGGCGTAGCGGATCACGTCCTCGAGCTGCCCGATGTCTCGGGCCGGGCGAGAGGGGGGGATAGCAAAGGAGGGGGTTGAGAATCAGCTCACGTAGCTGACTTTCCCGGCGCTTCCCAGCGCCGGGAGGCGCCATATATATATATATATATATATATATATATATATATCGAGGAATGGGCCCGGCGGCGGGGGCCGACACCAGCTGCATGCAGCAGATTTCGTAACCCCCCCTTTCCCTGGCCCCCCCTTTCGTTCGGCCCGAATGTCGACGCCGAGCGCGGCGATGGCCTGGTACCGCTCGTCCCAGCTGCCGTCGTCCTCGGGACGGCGAGGTGCGGAGGCCTCGCCACCTGCCGCGCGGCGCCCCTCCTCCTGGCACGTGGAGCACGCGCGGGCCCGCAGGGGCGCGGGCCCGCCTGGACCCCGGGGGCATCCCGCTGCGGGCCGATCGCCGGCAGTCTACCCCCCGGGGGGGGGCCGTCGTGGAGGGCCCGGAACAACGACCTTGTTCTCTAGACATCCGGCGATGCCATTCTTTCAGCGCCCGTCCCCAGGAAGTCCCGACCCTTCCCACGAGGAGGAGGAGGAGGAGGAGGAGCAGGAGGAGCAGGCGGAGGAGGAGGAGGAGGAGGAGAGGAGGAGGAGGAGGAGGAGAAGGAGGGAGGGGAGGGAGAGGAGGAGGAGGAGGAGCAGGAGGAGGAGGAGGAGGAGGAGGGGAGGAGGAGGAGAAGGAGGAGGAGGGGAGAGGAGGAGGAGGAGGAGGAGGAGGAGGAGGAGGAGGGGAGGGAGCAGGAGGAGCAGGAGGAGGAGGAGGGAGGAGGAGGAGGAGGAGGAGGAGGAGGAGGAGGAGGAGGAGGAGGAGGAGGAGGAGGGAGGAGGAGCAGGAGAGGAGGAGGAGGAGGAGGAGGAGGGGAAGGAGGAGGAGCAGGAGGAGGAGGGGGAGGAGGAGGAGGAGGAGGAGGAGGAGGAGGAGGGGGAGGAGGAGGAGCGGAGGAGGAGGAGGGGGAGGAGGAGGGGAGGAGGAGGAGGACAGGAGGAGGAGGAGGAGGAGCAGGAGGAGGAGGAGGGAGGAGGAGGAGGGGGAGGAGGAGGAGGAGGAGGCGGAGGAGGAGGAGGAAGAGGAGGAGGAGGAGGAGGAGGAGGGGGGGCCCGCTCCCCTTGGGGCCCGCGCGTGCTTCGCGGCAATCCTCGCCGACCCCGCCTGCGCGCTCGCGCACCGGGCGCCCCAGGTCGCCGCCGCCCTCGGGCCGCTGCTCCGGGCGCCCCTCCGCGCCCGCGACCCTCGTCCGCTCGACGGGGTCCGCGGCGTCCTCCTCGAGCATGCGCAGCGCTCGCAGCCGCACCTGGGGCAGCAGAGCGATGCGGTCATCCCAGACGTGCTCGCGTCGTGCGCAGGATCACGGCGGCAAGCTTTCTGCCGCCCTCGGTCCCATGGGGGGGCCCCGGGACCGTCAAAAAGGACTGCTCGGGGCGGAAGGCCGGCCCTGGGGAAGAGGAGCAGGACTCCTGGGGGCCCGGCATGGAGCAAATGTAGATCGAAGTCGGATGTCCGGGGAGCGAAGCAATGCAGCCAGAATGCTCCCATCAGGAGCGTTGGCTAGGGAACGGAGCGGCTTGTCAAGCCACGACGAGCCTCTGCCTCGAACAGGCTCCCCTGGCCCGAGATGGGTCCACGGAGCGGCCCGAAGACTGCAGCCCCTCCTGGGCCTCCAGCGGTCCTGGGCCCAGACATCTGGCGCCCTGATTCTTGTCAGCGCGTGGGCCCCTGGACCTCTGGACCCCTTCCCCAGGGCCCCAGGGCAGGCTTTGCGCACCGCCTTGCTTGTGTTTGAAGGGGCCCTGGGACACACAAATAAATACACACAAATAAACAGATTCCCCAGATTTTCTGGGTTTCTGACTTCCCGCCCAATTCCCAGATTTTCCTACAATTATTTGGAAATCGACGATTAATTGTGTCTGTGTGTTTTTTCCCCTCCTGAGTGTTGACGGCTCCGGAGCCCGAGCCTGGCCCCCAAAGGCCCACAAATGGTGACGGGCACGTCTCCTCGACTTCCTGGCGGCATCGGATGTCTGAGCACCGGCGCCGATATACTATTTCCTCCGAAAGACCGGCCTTTCGTCCCGAGCGGCTTCTTGACGGCCCCGGGGCCCGGCAACGGCCCCAAAGCAGCCCGGCAACGGCCGACTGTACCTTCCGTTGTTGTATTCTTTGCCACCGCGAGAGACGGTGGGGGTGTCTCCCCCCGTCCGTTCCTAATGTCGAGCAACTGTCACCAGGACGGGCCCAATACGATCCCCCACCCATGGCTCCCCACCAGGCGGCCCCCCGTCCATTTGGCGAGGAAGAGGCGCCGCGCTCCGCCGCCGCGCGCGGCCGCCCCGCGAGAGTCCGCGGCGCGCCGCCCGCGCGGCGACCACGAGCGCCACGCACCTGCTGGGGGAACGTCGAGGGGAGACCCGCTCAGCGGGGGAAGCGTCGAGCCGGCCGGCATCGGCGATGCATCTCGCCGACAAATCGGCGAGAGGCCCCCCGATAGCAAAGCCGCACGCTCCTGGGCGGGGTGGGCTCTGAGGCCTCCTGTCGGCGATGAGGTGGGCGGTGGGGGCCGAGGCGCTCCCCCCCCTGAGCATGCGCGTCCCCCCCTGAGCCTGGGCTCAGGTCGGGCACGTCCTCCTACAAGGCGGACTCTGGACAACAACGACATAGTCAAACAGTAACCAAACATCGTCCCCTGATTATCCCTGAGGCTCCTTTTCGTTATTTTTCGATGACAGTTTATCGCAATTCGTAGCACTTATCGTATTTCAACATAACTATCGTATTTCAACATAGTTTTCGCTTTCTCGTCATCATATACGTCTACTGTACGACATAGTAGTAGTAGTAGTAGTAGTAGTAGTAGTAGTAGTAGTAGTAGTAGTAGTAGTAGTAGTAGTAGTAGTAGTAGTAGTAGTTAGTAGTAGTAGTAGTAGTAGTAGTAGTAGTAGTAGTAGTAGTAGTAGTAGTAGTAGTAGTAGTAGTAGTAGTCGTAGTAGTTAGTAGTAGTAGTAGTAGTAGTAGTAGTAGTAGTAGTAGTAGTAGTAGTAGTAGTAGTAGTAGTAGCAGTAGTAGTATAGTAGTAGTAGTAGTAGTAGTAGTAGTAGTAGTAGTAGTAGTAGTAGTAGTAGTAGTAGTAGTGTCGTAGTAGTAGTAGTAGTAGTAGTAGTAGTAGTAGTAGTAGTTGTAGTAGTAGTAGTAGTAGGTAGTAGTAGTCATTCAGTAGTAGTTAGCAGAGTAGTCGTAGTCGTAGTAGTAGTAGTAGTAGTAGTAGTGTAGTAGTGTAGTAGTAGTAGTAGTAGTAGTAGTAGTAGTAGTAGTAGTCAGTAGTAGGTAGTAGTAGTAGTAGTAGCAGTAGTAGTTAGCAGTAGTCGTAGTGGTAGTAGTACTAGCAGCAATAGTAGTAGGGTAGTAGTAGTAGTCGGTAGTAGTAGTAGTAGTAGTTAGTAGTAGTAGTAGTAGTAGTTAGTAGTAGTAGTTAGTAGCTAGTAGTAGTAGTAGTATGTAGTAGTTAGTCGTAGTGTAGTAGTAGTAGTAGTAGTAGTAGCAGTCGCAGTAGCAGTAGTAATAGTAGTATCAATATTAATTGAATAGTATTAAAATAATAGTAACAGTAATAGTAGCTAGTAGTAGAAGTCGTAGTCGTAGTAGTAGTTGTTGTTGTAGTAGTAGTAGTTGTTGTTGTTGTAGAAGTAATAGTTCCCCATCTCCTAAGATGGGGTTCTTGTTATTACTTGGACGCCTCCTACTCCTCCTCCTTCTTCCTCCTCCTCTTTTCTCGTCCCCTCTGTCGGACATACTCAGACTTGCTCATACACAGACTTACTCATACTCAGACTTACTCATACTCAGACCTACTCATACTCAGACTTACTCACACTCAGACATACTCATATACAGACTTACTCATACACAGACTTACTCATACACAGTATTAGTCATACCCAGACGTACACATACACAGACTTACTCATACACAGACTTACTCATACTCAGCACCCCTAAGGGGAGCCGCCAGGGGTGGTTGCACGGGCTCGTTCGTGGCCATTTTGTGGGGATGTCTCAGGCGGTTGCCTGTTTCTGTGCCCAACATCCTTCGCTTTCGGAGCAGATTTGGAGGATGTCTCGAGCGAGGCGCTCATTTCAGCACCCCTAAGGGGGAGCCGCCAGGGGTGGTTGCACGGGCTCGTTCGCGGCCATTTTGTGGGGATGTCTCAGGCGGTTTGCCTGTTTCTGTGCCCAACATCCTTCGCTTTCGGAGCAGATTTGGAGGATGTCTCGAGCGAGGCGCTTATTTCAGCACCCCTAAGGGGAGCCGCCAGGGGTGGTTGCACGGGCTCGTTCGCGGCCATGTTGTGGGGATGTCTCAGGCGGTTTGCTTGTTTCTGTGCCCAACATCCGTCGCTTTCGGAGCAGATTTGGAGGATGTCTCGAGCGAGGCGCTCATTTCAGCACCCCTAAAGGGGAGCCGCCAGGGGTGGTTGCACGGGCTCGTTCGCGGCCATTTTGTGGGGATGTATCAGGCGGTTTGCCTGTTTCTGTGCCCATCATCCTTCGCTTTCGGAGCAGATTTGGAGGATGTCTCGAGCGAGGCGCTCATTTCAGCACCCCTAAGGTGAGCCGCCAGGGGTGGTTGCACGGGCTCGTTCGCGGCCATTTTGTGGGGATGTCTCAGGCGGTTTGCCTGTTTCTGTGCCCAACATCCTTCGCGTTCGGAGCAGATTTGGAGGATGTCTCGAGCGAGGCGCTCATTTCAGCACCCCTAAGGGGAGCCGCCAGGGGTGGTTGCACGGGCTCGTTCGCGGCCATTTTGTGGGGATGGCTCAGGCGGTTTGCCTGTTTCTGTGCCCAGCATCCTTCGCGTTCGGAGCAGATTTGGAGGATGTCTCGAGCG